GCCGCTCAACAGCATCGTCCAAGTCAGCGAATATAAATTCACTGAGCTTGGCCTTTCTGCCGTCCATTTGGAAGATTGTACCGGACTTTCACTTGAAACCGCACATTCACCTGAAACTTTCAGCTGTTATCGGCAAACATTTCACCGCAGTTGGATGATCTCCTTTGTCAAACACATAATGTAAATTCTCGGTTGAAACTCTGCATTTGAAATTTTCGCAATAATGACTTTTAGATTTACACCTGCAGACGCAGCGAAAATCGTTACAAGATACCCCATTCGTCGTCTCCTTTTTAAAACTTCTTTGGCAGTTTCGCAGAACGTACACAGAACAAAGATATACTTCTCACGGCATATGTTTTTGCCTGGCTACTTGAAGAGTAGAGTAGAGCAATTTTATTCAGGATATCTCCCGGGATTATTGATAATAAGAGGACGTCAAGATGAGAAATCCTACATTGCAAAATCACTCGGCCGTGAAAGGGCAAACTCTTGGGCTTAGGCGGTAGTCCCTCCTTTCGCGCGGCCATTTTCTTCTCGCGGTTTTCTTTGGTGCCACGCACGCCGGGCTAACCGAAAGAGGAACTACTCGTAGTCTATAATATACCAGGCCCTTTGCACAAGCCGGTCGCTTAGTGTAAAATTAGCTGTGCTGCTCTGCTGGGCCGCAGATTGCGCACCGGGAGATCCAGAAGAAAGCTCCTCGCACCAGTCAAGTTTGACTTTTTTTGTTTCGGATGTCCCAGTACCATGTGGCTGGATCTTGCAAAGGATCTACTGGGCTTACTTTCTCGAACTTCTCCTTTCATGCGTGGTCAAGTTCCTTATGAGATCCCTCCCCAGTTTCTGACCGGTTCGAGCGAAGACTCTATAATCAGAAAGAGCATCTCGTTACTACATGCGCTTTCCACTTTACTCTGTTTGCAGGGTCGTCAGTTCCCGGATGCAAATTTACCCGGTTTACCTCCAGAAGAGAGAAAGGCAATCTTCGAGGCTGCAATGAAAACGCTGGCACAACTACAATCTATCGACACGGATAAGCTAAACTTAGATTGCATCGGTGACAAAGAGAATTTCTTTCAACAAAGGGTAGGTACAATAATAATACATATAACAGAAGCCTCGAATCCAAAACACTCATCGCAACGTGTTTTCAAGTGGTTAATTTTCATTACGTTGTCAGTGATTAAGAAACTGAGAACGGTTTTTTTCCACAACCCATTAGCTTGTATCTGTGCAATTCACATTAAGAAATATATCAGGGTTACTTGACCGTTGAGTTAAATTTGACATTTATCAGTCATTATCCCACTATGCTTCTCCGTTCTCCGATACAGGTCTGCGTCGCAGGTAGATTAATCCTCACATTCTATATGCCACACTTGTTTGGAAAACACTTTGCAGGAGACCTTGACGAATCTGTTTCCTTCGAGACATGCATTCGGCCCGACTAGGCAGTCACGTAGAAGCTCGTTTTCCTTTCCAGCGTTATGCGAATTGGCTACTCAGAAACTTCTTTTGATCTTTCAGTTGGATACGTTGTATGAAGGTTACAAACGAACTGAAATGAAGGCAATTCCTAAAGTTCATCAATTAATGGAATGGATGAGAGAAAACATACCAAAGGACGACAAGAAACCCGGTAGGAAATAATAAATTCAGCCCAGCTATAGTTACCTATTTTTTTGTTAGAGGATCGCTAATCAAGATGAACTTTTAAAATTTGATATTGGTAGACGAGAATTTTTCAAGTAGTAACGTTTACAAGAAACTTGCTGAAATTACAATCTGCAATCTTAATTTTTTGTGTGTTTGTTTGTTTTACGTTCAGTTATTCACCACACTGATTTCAGGATTCCGAATATGCTGTTTCATCCAGAACAGGTAAAGAGTGTGGAAGTTCTTTATTTAGTTAGGTTTATTTACTAGATATATAGGGTAAAGTCTGCATACGAGCCAAGTGGCTCATCAGGCCGGAGCTTATCCGGGTTTCGGTATCAAGAAGCAACACGGAGTATTTCTACTCCCCCTGGATGGGATGCTGGTCCATCTCAGGGTTACCCCAGTATTAAATTCGCCGGTACCCATTTATATACCTGGGTGGAGAGAGGCACTGTGAGAGTAAAGTGTCTTACCCAAGAACACGACACAGTGTCCCCGATCAGGGCTCGAACCCGGACCGCTTGCTCCGGGGTCGAGCGCACTCAGTAACGATGAGGCCACCGCGCCTCCACACACTAGATATGTAAAATAATTAATTAACTCCATTTGCAGCTGCCTAGTCGGGAACTGAATTCCTGATATGAACCCTTATAATCCTAATCGGATAATAGTCTGCATAATAGAGCAAGCTGATTGACAGCGAGTTGTCTTTGTTCAACTCAGTGGTCTTATTTTTTGTTATGAAAGAGCTAGAGCCAGAAGCCCTCGAATTGAAAGACCCCGAATTGAAGATGAACCTTTTTTTGTGTAAAAAGAAAAAGATAGGAGAAAACAAGGGGTGTTCGTCTGGCCCTTGAACCTTAAATCTTATCGTAGCTTAATACGTTAAATCTTACTTTATCACTTTGGGAGGAGGGGTCATCTCTAAAAATTAGAATGACGACGGACGCAGGGTTAAAATGTCTGATAAAATGGGGGGAGGGGGGGTGGCATTATCTTTTACTGCCAAACCTTGATTCAGGAGTTTCGATTCCATCATATATTGATGCAATCAGGATGAAATTGTAAGTAGATAAACTCTGTACCATCGAGAATCACAATTGTTTCTATGAGAGTCACAGTTAAGAAACTTAACCTCTTTCCAAATAGGAAAACAACATCCAGCTTATCGCTTTTTTAGCGTAATCAGGTGTCAGAAGTTTACTGGTAACTGATAAATTCGCCATGAGTTTTTTTACCTCGCTGACCGCAATTAACGAAAACAAATTCGTCTGTTTCAGTCTCAGGTCTTGGCCGTGATAGACTGGGAAGCAGCATCTTGGGGACATCCATTTGAGGACCTTGCGTACTTCTGCCTAGCTTACCATTACCCAGCGGAATTAGACATTATGCCTGGGTTTAAAGTCGGTAGGCGAATGTCTTTACTTTGCCTACTATCTTGTAAACAGGATGACGACTTTCTTCTTAGGATCTTAGCTAAGATAAAAGACAGACAGGATGTTTTCTAAGCTGTTGATAGCTTTTTAGCTTTTGTTTTCTGTGGTTATTAAAGTCACGTGGTAATTTTTAAGAGCGTGAGGGGGCGGAGAGGCGAATAGGGGGTCTAAGCTTTCTGCCTCTGGCATCTCCCTCACCCTCAAATTTGGAAAACGTGAAGGATTCCTTCTCGTGTAAAAGTGGCATTTGTCTGTCGGAATCGTTGATTACCTTGAGAATAAGGCCTGCATGGGGAATCAAACGGCTTGCCACTCGTCATCTCTTAGTTTGAGTCGATGACGCATTAGCTCTCTTAAGATAACAAATTAGTCTATCAAGGAGCTTATGATGAAGCAGTATTACCTGACCAGCACCTCATTTATCTCATTCTTGTGCATCGAGAGGGTATGCAGGGGTGGGGGAACTTTGGTTGATCCAGATTATCCTCAGGGAAAGAGGAACAGGTACAAAGGGATACGCTTACCATCATCTATGCAGAGGGGTCCTTTCCCCAGTAATCTCTAGCTCTTTTCGCTTCTGCCAAGGAAAGGTCTGCCATTGTTTAGAAGTGAAGTTTGTTTTTATTTTAGCGTATTACTCAGAAGGGATCCCTAGCGAGGAGGCCATGCTGTCTTTATACTGTGAGTTGACTGGATACACCCTTCCTCTCCCAAACTGGACATACTTTTTGGCATTGATATTTTTCCGCGTGGTCGTGAATATTCAGGTGAGCTGTTGAGTCACAAACATTCCCAGGCATCCCCTGGGTTTCTATCTAGATGCTAGACAACTTTTGCACCTTTGGGGACGGAACAGAAAGCAGAGTCCTCATAGCGGCCAAACCAAACCAAAGCCAACAAAAGCAGAGCGAGAGCAATATTTCAGACCCAATAAGCCACAACCAGTCTGGGCATGCATGTGTACTATCTGAACCGTGAAAACGAAATGAACCACCGAAAGGCACATGGCGACCGACGCGAGCGAAAACATCGAAAAGGTCAAAACTGAACCAGTGAACCGAGATAAGCGCAACCTCTAATTATTATTGACACCTACTGCTGTACGCAAGCTAAGCTGAGCAATATCCAGGCTAACCTGAGCGCTTTTCAGACCACCGGAGTGAACGTCTGCGGGTCCAGCACTCCGGTTACCCTGAATAACGCTCAGTAAGGTTAGCTCTCAATAGTGATTACGGCTGTCGCTTATTTCGGTGATTTGGTGTCGCCCGACTCGTTTTGCTCATTTCAGTCGTTTTGGCGGTTTTGTTTTGGTCCTTTCAGACCGGAGGTTTCCCTCGTTTGTCTTGATGGTGGTTTTGTTTCGTTGTCTCGGGTTGTTGTACATGCCGTCTCTCTTATGTGTCAAGTTTGTCTAGGAGTAGCCCGGCGAAGAACGGCGGGTAGAAGAAGGGCGGGCTAGCGCTCCGAGGAATTAATTATGTAACGTTTAAGTCGTTTTGTGTTGGGATCAACCGTTTCAACCGCAACCAGTTTGAGTTGGTACGGTTGACGTTTCTCAATAGGACACTTTTCCAACCGTTTTCGGTTGAAACACGGTAACTCCTCGGAGTAGTCCTCGTACGCGTGCCAGCCGCCACAATCACGCGAAACAATCACGCAAATGCTTTTTCAACCGTTTCAACCTGGTCGAGGCCGGTTAAAACAGTTGATCAACCAAACCAACTGAAAACGGATTTTCACCAATAGAACTCGAAAAAAACCCAACCAACCAGACACGATTCATCCCAATAAAACACGACTTTAATTATACGACCACCTAAACCACAAGACCACGATTTTAAAAATATTAAAAAGTTTCATTTCCTTTATTTCAGACCGTATTTGCACAGTTGTCTGCTGGTGGTGTTGACTTACCTTTTTCGTTTAAAGGCGTGGATGACTTGTTGGAGCCTCTTGTACATCACGCCTGTAAAGTTGTTGGACTCAAGTAACTTGGTCAACTGCGTTTGTGCCTCGCTCAAAAGATTTTATGTGTACCGCTTAGAAACGTTACATCAATAAAACTAATAGCGTCGACAGATCGCTTTGTTTTTGTTGTTACGACTTTGACTTAATAGTATACGCTTCCAAGTTAAATGGCTGCTCACAATCATAACGAGATATTCAATTCAAAGATTCCTCAATAGTTTTAAAGGAGAATAAATGCAACAGAACATTCATCTTAGCCTTGGCCTTCCTCATCATCCTCCAAGAAACTCATTCTCTTTGTCTTTCAAGATGGCGGATATGACGAGGAAAGACCGGCCTTTCCTCGCTATGGCCGCCATCCTGGAAAGATCGGGGGAACGCGGTTGCGTCCTCTACCTCACCTTTTTTCCTACTTCTCTTACAGCTACTTTTCTTCTTCGTAGCATCGTCCTACTTCTCTTTCCGTTCCACCCATAATTTCTTTTCTGGGGGCTCCCGATCAAATTTCTAAGAAGAACCTTCCCTGCTTGAATCGACTAGGAATGGCGG